TCCACCAAGACATACCAGAAAAATGTTGATGTCCATGGGTACCTACATGCAGAGAGTGGTCACCACCCTACATGGGTTTACAACATACCCTCTGGTCAATTTATTAGATTGAGACATAACTGTTCATCCTTGTTGGACTATGAGAGAGAGTCCCTGGTATTATGCCGCCGTTTTATGGAAAAAGCATACCCTGTAGAACACATTCGGAGGGCTTATCTGAAAGCTACGTCTATGAATGGGGAGAGTCTTATAGATCCACTCACTAATTTGAATCGTGGGGAATCACAGGTGATTCAGGAGTTTAACCTAGAAAGTATACAGCACAATGATGATCATCAACTTATTCTTGATTTGTTTGATGATTATAACTTTCACCAGAGGAAAAGGGCGAAATTTGATATTAGTACAAAGGAAGTGGGTAAGGGTACCACTCCTGTTTTTACCACTACATTTAATAGGGCATTTGATGATATTATAAGTATCTTTTATAGGTACTGGTCAATCCTCAAAAAAGACCCGTGGCTATGTTTTAGTATATAGTAACGACCTAAAATCACGTTCAGAAAAGCCCCTAATTTGAAAAATATATTAGCCCCCTCTAAATTGAATAGTAGTACTGGTGGGTTGTCCAAACAATATGCGCTGTGGACATAATAGATGTCTGACATGTGGATTTATCTGTCATAAAGTGTCTACTTTCAAACCTTATAAGGGTGAAGAAACGTTTGTTGTGACACATAAGACTACTTGTAAAACCACCTTTGTTGTTTATTTGTTAATTTGTCCGTGTGGCCAACATTATGTGGGTCAAACCATCAGACCTCTCAAAGTTAGATTTAGGGAACACAGATTGGCCATACTGAATAGGGACACTAGGTCTCCAGTGGCACGTCACTTTGAAATGTTCCATAATAGTGACCCCACTCAAATTAAATTGATGGGGATTGATCATGTACCCCCTACAAGGGATATAGCTACTAGGAAAAGAGATCTTACTAAAGCTGAATCCTTATGGATTTTCAGACTGGATTCTTTAGCACCTAACAGTCTAAATGAGGAACTAGAGCTATTCTCCTAAGGATTTTAGATGTGGGCTCTATTTCCAATCTTATTGATGGAACACATAGGGAACTATTTTAAAGGTATAGAAGTTTTATGTTTATTTGTTTTTTATATGATATAATTTAATATATATTTTTTATTTTTTGAGAGATGTTGTGTCCCAACCCTATTTGTAAGAGATTTCCTGAATATATGAATACTTTGCCATCCTTTTTCTGTCTGCCTTTTATAGACTGGATTTGTTTCTATAGATTCAGGATCTTGTGTTATACTTGTTATAAAGTAATTGCTTTTTAGGGTTCCCCACCTGTACTATGGGAACACCACTATATGTTTTATATTTATATTCATGTTTATGAATTGCTTTGCCTTTTGAACATAATCAGGAGACTCTTAGTTTAAATATTTTTATTACAGCATTCGGTGTCTAATGGAGATAGTTTAGTCCTGCTCCGTTGACACCTAGAAATTTGTAATAGCCTATTTACAAGGTATATGTTCCTTTAAAGATTTAAGGTCTAAATTTAATATAGATTTAATCATTATTACTACTTTATTTATTTTATTATTTGTAATGTTCATATTTAAGGTGATATGGAGGTTTTTGTGAACAATATGTATGAAAATCCAGTCCGGGTTTCAGTGCCTGCTCTCTGACTTTGATCAGAGAGGATATTTAAACCCTGGGTATGTAGTATATTGTTGTCTTGATAAAGTTTCAGAAGTGAAACGAAACACGTTGATCTACATACATACCTGCTTTGGCTGTTTCCTTGCCTCCAGCTCTGTACCCCATCTGGCACCTCGTCTCTTCTGGCTGATTGCCGCGGTCTTTTGTGAAGATCCTGACCGCGGCGTTTCATCGAAAGCTTCTTTCATTCTGGGCAGCATTTTTTTGCACAGTTTCTTTCACCTGTGTGTTATTAATACGGCGGTCTTTTTCGAAGATCCCGACCGCGGTATTAAGACTGTAGGGTGTTGTTCGTCTTATAGTGCATTTGCTCCCACTCTTTATTAAGTAATTTGGTGTCATCTGGGGGTCTCTTTTGGTTATCCCTGACTTGGATTTTATTTCTCCCTCTGGTGGGGGCCCACACCGAGGTCAGGTACTATTTATTTATTTATTCATTTATAATTTTTTATTATTCATTTTTTATATTATTTGATGTATTTATATTTTTTGTTGTGTTTGTTTCTTTTGGCACATTATCCATATTACTGATGCATTTGTATATGATGTATTTACATATCTAAAGCTTAATACATCTAGCAACTTTGTTGTATATGGATACTATGCTGAGTATTTAATTTACTGTTTTATACTTTGTTGCTATTTTGTGTGTTTTTACCACTATATGATTTCGTAATTTTTTTATTTTTATTTCAGTGAGGGTATAACCATTAGGGAGGTTGTGAAACAGCCTCTGAATTATTTGATGTTTATTAAAAGATTTATACTTTTATATTTAACTTTTTAGTTTGTGATTTTTTTATTGGGAGCGAACACACCCTTTGGTTTATTGTGAGTTAATTGTTCAATTCAGTTGCTTGCTGGTGTTTTGATGCTGCCCTTTTTTAATTTCAATTGTAATTATATTGATTTATAGTATAGCTGTACCGTTTTATATGTTTGAATTTTTGCAGGAGTTTAACCAAGGCTGGAACAGGATTTCAGGGGTTAACCAGAGTCAAGTCAAGCAAAGATTAATTCAGGAAACAAAGAGTGTTACCAGAATTCAGGCAGACTAGAGTTGATTCAGGAAATCCAACAGGTGAAGGTGATCAAATGATTTCAGGCAGGATCTGGCTCTGTACTCTAGGGAGACAACAAAACAACTGAGCACAGAACCTAGGGGGTTCTGTGCTTAAATAGGGGAGAGGTAATAGGAGCGCTCCCAAAAAGAGGGAAACTTAGGGCCTATATCCTTAGAAGGCTTCTCTGGGTGGGTAGGTGTCTACACCTCCCTATGTGGGTGGGACGCTATGTACGTTTGTTCATTTAACTTGTAAAACTCCATGCTTGCTGAGCTGGATTCCATAGAGCTTTGTCACCTTGAGGGGATCCTTGAGCAGCATGGGGGAGACACAACAAATCACCCAACATGCCCACAGGAGGAGAGATAGGCATAAGGGTAGACAGGGTGTGCCTGCCTTCCCCTGCATGTCACAACCCACATGGAGTGGCTGCAGTGGCCAGCAGGTAAGGGAGTGCGGCGCACCTTGCACTCATTGCACGCTGCTGAAGTGCTGTGGTATAAGCGGGCGGCCGGAAGGAGGGTTTGGCGCATCCCCCACTCCCTGGATACTGAAATTCATGTGGTGTCTAGAGAGTGAACGCAGGGCACCAGCCTCTCCCGGTGTGCCATGACACAGGGCTCTGTAACTCGGATTGTCTATCCCGAAGCAGGAAATTGACCGCCTTACCCCACTCAGGACAAGCAAACAGGCCGCAATTGTGAAAACGCAGGGATGTCTCCAGAAGACTCTGAAAAGCTGGCTCCACAATGATGTCAGGGTGCCTCCTACTAGGTCAAAGCACATTTAGCACCAAAGAAACTACAAATAAAATCTGGGTTTTGCACTCAATTTAAAAGATTAGTTGAGGAGTTCCTCAATCCATTAGTGAATAACCCTGTATATGCAAGCACATCCCAGAAGAGGCACTGCTTCCGAAATGCTAAAAACACCACATCTCGCACAAACACGCATGTCAAGTTATTAGACCACACATCTTCCACATTATAATGTTTGGTTCTCCATGTTTGCATTAATTAGATATAGTGATGCAGCCATATAATTTGCTACTTAGATATTTGTATTAATAGTACAGGTTTACCTAATAAAATGACCATGAAATCTGTGCTTGTCTATAATTTTTTGATGTATTTGTGGTTCTTTTAAATTAACACATAGGCAGGAATCACTTTTGCTCCTTTTCAGCTCAAATGAAATTTATCAGTAAGGTGAAGTTTGCCACCATGTGTGAGAGAGGTTTTATTCATGTCACTGTGTACAACTGCTGAATTATGACCCATAACTCTTTTGTTATCATAAACATCTCAAGTTTGTTTGGATGGCGTCATTAGCAAGTGTGCTTATGTATACTCCGTTTAATAACAGGCTGCAAAAATTTATGAGCTGCAATTCAGATTTCTGTAATAGATTTAAATCATCCTGCATTTTAATCCAGACAGGGGAACAAAGTCACATCTTCGTCCAGTGTGTAAAAACAAATATGGCCAATTAGTCTGCAAGCATTGCTATTTATACTCAGTTCAATAAATAAATACAATATGATACTAAGCACAGTAATCCAATATTTGGCAAAGGAACTCACACTCAGGTTCTGCAAATAAGGGTCACTTTATTTCTTTTTACAAGGAGTAAGTGTCTGGTGGAATAAAATTCACTATTCCATAAGAATCTTAATACTAATTTTTTTTTTATCTTCTGATTCAGGTTTGTAAATACAGCAAAGCTAAAGAAATAGTGTATTGAAGATAATTTCATGTGACATTATTGCATTTCAGAATACGTGCCTACAATAGAGCTATAGATGACTGAATCAGTCCAGTTACTTAAAGGGACACTAAAGACACAGAGATCATTTCATATCAATGAAATGTTCTGGGTGCAGTGCCAGTTTCTTTTTATTCATACAATATAAAATATTTCTGTTTAATAGATATGGTCTATTTGATTGGACCTCAAATGAACCCTAGTAGATACTGTACTTAAAGGGACACTATGGGCACCAAGACTATTTCAGCTCATTGACTTGATCTGGGTGAATATACACAGGTCCCTTAACCCTGCACATGTAATTATTGCTGCTTTTAATAAACTACAATAATTACATTTGTGTGTTATCTCCTCCTCTAATGGCTGTCTACCAGGCAGCCACTAGACGGACTTCGGGATCGTTGGGCAACTTTTCAGCGCCTAGCTGACGCTGGACATCCTCGCGCTATGCATGAGGACATTCAGCATCACCCGAAATGCCGCACATGCACATTAGATCTCGCCATGCGGCCGGGGTTTTTGGCCCCTTGTGCACCACAGGGAGAGGGGGGGACCATAGGGAGCTATACTGCCAGGAAAACAACTTTATTTTCGTGGCACTATAGTTTTCCTTTAATAAACACTGTCACAGATGGATATTGGAACTTTTTTGGTGCACATTGTTTATGATATCAGTAGGAATGTGATACCATTCATAAACCAAAAGTTTGCACCTGAATGCCATAACAATACAGCGTTGTGCTATCAGATGTAGAAACAACATTTTCAGATGTATGTGGCACTGCCCAAGCAGACTGGGAGGGCAAAGCGATAAGCTGTCAAAGAGACAGAAGATGGAATTAGGAACATTTATTTAATCTTCCCGCTGTCTGGATGTTCCGTTTGCTTGAAGCTGTTTGCCTCATCACCTGCCTAATTCATGTGTTAACCATTGTTCATTACTTGAGCAATTCTTGGATCTGCTGTTGACACAGATTTTTTGTTCTTCAGTATTTGTGTGTCAGTGCAAACATGAGTCATTAACCACACGCACAATGACCCAACCTATGTTGGTCACCTTTGATGATATATGCATGGATATTGCACATAGGACTTTGCTAACATTTTGCTGTGTATGCTCCAGGGCAGGCATTGTAATTTGTGCATCAGTTTATAAAGTTTGAAAGAATAGGATATAGACACCAGAACCACTACATTAAGCTGTAGGGATTCTGATGACTATAGTGTCTCTTTAAGTTATTTTTAATGTAAACACTACCTTTTAAGAGACCTAAATAGTTTTTATAGTTTCACACTAATAGAGTCAGGAATACATGTTTGTGTTCCTGACACTATAGTGTTCCTTTAAATATGTTTCTGGTAAATGACTCATAAGCATTATACAGTGACACTGTAAACGAACACTCATTAGACTGTCTCAGACGGAATGAACTATTAGAGATGACACCTTCCTCCCACAACTGGGGATATGAAAGGAAAGCACTGAAGTGTTTCAAGCCCAGTTATATCTTCAGTAACATTTAAAACGTATAGTTTTGCTCAAAGATTTGCATACAGTGGCAAAAAATTTGAAATTTTGTCATTGATTTTGAAAATATGACTGATCATGCAAAAATGTATTTTATTGAAGGATAATGATCATATGAAGCCATTTATTATCACATAGTTGTTTGGCTCCTTTTTAAATCATAATGATAACAGAAATCACCCAAATGGCCATGATCAAAAGTTTACATACCCCTAAATGTTTGACCTTGTTACAGACACACAAGGTGACACACACAGGTTAAAATGGCAATAAAGGTTAATTTTCCACACTTGTGGCTTTTTAAATTGCAATTAGTGTCTATGTATATCTAGTCAATGAGTTTGTTAGCTCTCATGTGGATGCACTGAACAGGGTCGATACCGAGTCATGAGGAGAAGAAAAGAAGTGTCAAAAGACCTGCGTAACAAGGTAATGGAACTTTATAAAGATGGAAAAGGATATAAATACTGGATATATACTGTTTAATCATTTATTAAGAAGTGGAAAATGCAGGTATCTCTTGATACCAAGCCAAGATCAGGTAGGTCTAATAACCATATTCCAGTTACTCAGTGAGCAGTATATGTTTTATTCTTTTTAATTTTCGGTTGGAACTCCTGGAAAATCATCACTCCATATATCCTTGAGTGGGGATCAATCCACTTCACGCGCTTTATACCAGAGCTGGATTTTAGCTCTGGAAATTGTGAGTACATTATATGATTTTATATATATATTTATATATAAACTGACGTATTGCACTATTGGATCTTCTCTCCATTTTTCTCCACAAATGGCTGACTGAAAACTCAAGTTTCCATTGGAAAGAACTCCTATTTATACACAAGAATCATCTCCGTTCACTGTGGACTCTTACCTTGGACTTGTAAAATAATATTTTTTTTATATTTTTATATTTTCTTATATACTTAATATATATATTTTTTACATATTACATATTTTATATTATATATATTTTATATTTCCATAAATTATATTATTTATTTTTTTCTTATCATACTCTTATTGTGTGTACTCTTTGTGATACATACAACACAAACACGCGTGCCCTTTCTTTCTTGATTTTTATGTTTTAATTTATTGCAGGGGATAGAAGGGTATTTCCCCTTTTAGGTGTGCTGCCTTTACACTATTATACTCTTTCCTAGTGGTACTACTAGCGCTGACCCTATCTTGATCTTTAGACCAAGAAAGATTTCAGCCACAACTGCCAGAAGAAGCCCTTACTGCGCCAATGCCACAAAAAAAAACCCGGTTACAATATGTCTGAAAACACTTTGACACTGTTGAGTATGGTGGTGGCTCACTGATGGTTTTTGCGGGAATGAGCTCTAAAGGCACGGGGGATCTTGTGACAATTGATGGCAAGATGAATGCAGCATGTTATAGAAAATACTGGCAGACAATTTGCATTCTTCTGCACGAAGGCTGCGCATGAGAAGCGCATGACTTTCCAGCATGTCAATGACCCTAAGCACAAGGCCAAGTTGACCCTCCAGTGGTTACGGCAGAAAAAGGTGAAAGTTCTGGAGTGGCCATCACAGTCTTCTGAACTTAATATCATCGAGCCACTGTGGGGAGATTTCAAACATGCGGTTCATGCAAGACAACCAAAGACTTTTCATGACCTAGAGGCATTTTGCCAAGACGAATGGGCAGCTATACCACCTGCAAGAATTAGAGGCCTCATAGACCACTATTACAAAAGACTGCACGCTGTCATTGATGATAAAGGGTGCAATACACAGTATTAAGAAGTAAGGGTATGCAACTTTTGAACAGCAGTCATTTAATTTTTTTCCTTGTTGCCATGTTTTGTTTTATCATTGTGCCCTTCTGTTATTACCTACAGCTGAATGTGAATCTCATATGAAATGAAAGAAATGTGTTTTGCCTGCTCACTCATGTTTTCTTTAAAAATGGTACATATATTACAAATTCTCTAGGGGTATGCAAACTGTTGAGCACAACTGTATATTGTTTGTACAACGGATATTTTTTAATTAGCATAATTACTTCCTCTCTATTAAAGCTAACACAAATAACAGTGTGTGTTGGAAACTATCAGCTTTCCAGGACCTGCATTTTATCTTTAGAACTTCCTAAATTGTACTAAAGCAGCAATGATAAACTAATGTGACTTATGGAATCATCGACTGGGTTCAATTACTATTGTCCCAACTGCCACCATTTCCATTTTCTCTGAGTTAATTTTTTTTATTTAAAAAGGAATGTTAAAGGAACACTATGTCATTAGGAATACAAACAAGTATTCCTAATGCTGTAGTATCCTACTGTTTAAGTGTCCATCCCCCACGTATGAATAATAAAAGTTATTTCATATAAATTTCTTCCCACCCAGGCTGCTGTGCCTCCCTGACTGAGTTTATCAGTTTTGATAATCTCAGCCAAGTCAATGCTTTCCCTTTGAATCAATGAAACTCTATGGGGAGCATTCAGCATATCCATGCAGAGTGTGGATAGGCTGAACATCGGGCCTGCAATCTTTGCAGGACTTAATCCAGGAAGCACCCTTTAGTGGCTTTTCGAGTGACAGCCACTAGAGGTGGTCATAGGTAGCAATGTAAACACTGCTTTTTCTCAGAAAAGTCAGCGTTTATATTGCTCAGCCATCTAGGGACAGCTAAACTGAGCTGTAGTGGTCCTGGTGATTACGTGTCCCTTTAATGTTTTATTAAGTTACATTGTTTGGAATGGTTTTGCTCCAGAGATTATTCTTCTATATTAGGGATGCCCAAAACATAGTTTCCCAGATGTTTTAAAACTACAGCTTCCATGATGCTTTGCCATTCTAAAGGTATTCAAAGCATAATGGGAGATGTAGTTCAACAATATCTGGGGATCTATGTTGTGGGCACCCCAAATAGTGTTCTATTTTTGCCTGTTGTAGCCCTTTAAACTTATTTTGCCAGCAGACTCTTACTTGCCAATGTTGTTATATTTGTGTTTTGTTTGTTGGCAGCTTTGTTATATTTATGGCACTTTACAACATATGGAGTCCAATAAGTTAGCCAGCATTCATAAATAAAATAATAATAATAATCAGTACAGATATATCGCCTCACGCTGTGCATTTTACTCTACTATTCCTGCACAATAAAAAATCCTTTAGTATCAAATTCCCGACTCATCTTTTTCACTTATCTGAGTTTTCAATACATTGTATTTTTAAAATGAGTTTAATAAATCTTAGTAATAGACTATGACCCATAATGCTTTTACCTATATAATGTGCCTAGAATATATACAGATTAAGATATGTTGCTTTGTTAAGCAACAACAATAAATACTATCATTGCAGTTTTGTCTGTGCTTGGCAGGAACTGTGCTGTAAGAACAAGAACTCGTTTGTCTAATGTAAACAGAGGTTTTTGCCAAAGTGGGGAGCAGTACAAATCTGGAACAAGGTAACTGTTTCAGTGCTAAAGGAGCTAGCAAAACATTAAACCTTACTCTGGTCTTTGTAACTTATTTTAGTAAAACCTATCAGGATTTTTTTGTTTTTGTTTTTAAAAACATTCTTTAAAGATTTGAACAGTTAACAATTGCCTTGTATTATTCTTAAAATTGTGTTGTCGAATTGATTTGTCTATGATCAAATACTCATATTAGTATTAATATTAGTATTAATTGCATTCATAAAGAGCCAACTACTATTTAGTAATGCTGTATTTTTGTGGGGAAATATTATGCCAGTTTAATAGGAACAGAGGATGCCCATGATCTGAGATCTTTTTTATACAAAACACTTGCTCAGAAAGCCCAAGGATAGACCTGTCAGTCCATATATTGTCAGTCCATGTATGCCTCAAGGCAGGGCCGGCCCAAGACATTGTGCTGCCTGGGCCCAACAATGAGATGCTGCCCCCCCCAACAAAACCACACCCACAAAAACATGCCCACATCCATTATGTTATACAGTGTGTGTAGTGAATGCAATGTATTTGTTGGGTGGAGTGTGTGGACCAGCATTCCCAATAATTTTCTAAACATACAGGGCTTAATATTTCATTGCTTGTGAAGAGTAATAAGACTGACTGTCTTTCTAAG